GGCACTCGTGGCCCCCCATTTCTCTCTGATGGGGGAACGGGTCCCAAGGGGGGGATAGCTGGGTGAYGCYGGGGTCCCTGCAGTGTGGCCAGCCCCCCGCGATTCCCACTGAAGCACTGGGKTGCACAGGGAGGTTGGGGATCCTCTGCTGCCTCCCCGTGCCCCGGAGACCCCACAGCCCCCCTGGCAGCGGCGATGCTCCGGGCCCTTCCTCATGCCGGCAGCCCCGCGGTGGCCTCTCCAGACTCTCCGTGTCCCTCCTGTCCCAGGACCCCGGCGTGGGACACAGCCCTCGACGTGGGGGGAGGCTCTTAGCGCTCCGGCCCCCACACGGTGCTGGTGCCGGTGCCGTCCCCGCACCCTGTCCCGTCCCGTCCCGAGCGCCGACGGCGGCAGCAGCGAGACCGCTGGGGGGTTCTGGGGCGCAGCGTGGGTGCATCCCGGATACATCCCGGATACATCCCGGTTGCATCCCGGTTGCATCCCGGCTGCAGTGACTGAACACATCCCGTTTGGGACCTCGAAGCGGGGGTCTCCCCGGCGCGGGGGGAGCGCGCAGTGCCGGCCCCGGTGCAGCGCCGGTGCCGTCCAGTGTGGCTCGTGTCGATGTCCCGAGCCGGTGCCGGCGCCGCCCCCGCGCCCCGCCCCGCCCCGCCCCCCGTCCCGTCCCGTCCCGAGCGCGGGCGGCGGCGGCGGCGAGTCCGGAGGCGGCGGGCGGCAGGAATGGCGCCGAGGCGGGGGCCCAGGCAGAAGCCGGGGTCGGCACCGGGACAGAACCAGTGCTTCAGTGGGAGGCGGTGCACGCTCACCGAAACCGACCACACCGCGATGCAGAACGGCTCGCCCTGCTACCCCCAGAACGAGGARACCGGGCCAAGACCCGGACCCATCACCGCCGCTTGTATCATTGAACAGCCCCGGGGTGAGTGCCCGGCACCGGCGTCGGCACCGGCACCAGTCCCTGCCGCCGGTATTGATGGGGGGAATTGGGGAAAGGATGGGATTTCTGGGGGGATTCAGGGAGGTGGGCGGGATGGGGGCACCCAGGGGTGTGGGGCACTGTAGGTGAGTCCAGGCGTGCTGGTGGTGGGCACCCAGGGATGTGGGGTTGCCCTCCAGCCCCTCCTGGGCTCCTGGTGCCACCTGAACAGTTCCAGCCCCATCAGTCCCTCCTGCCCGTCCCCACAGAACTCGTGGTCATCAAGGTTGAGAAAGTCGACAGGCCTGAGGAGGAGGAAGGTCCCACCGGCTGCAAGGAGAAAGTGCCTAAAGCCCCCAAGAGGCCCAAGGTCTCCACGAAGGACAGTCAGAAGGAGAAGCAACCCAAGAAGTCCAAGGAAAAGAAGCCCAAAGGCCCTGCCAGTGGTCCCAAGTGCTCCAAAAAACCCAAGGAGAAACAACCCAAAGTGCTCCCAAAAACGGTAGCAGGAGAGAAGCAGTCGAAGGCACCGGCACCAGCAGTAACCAAAGGGCATCCCCAAGGGCCCTCCCTGCCCTCCGGCAGGTGCCCTGGGCCGAAGACCCTACCTGGCCACCCCCGTGGCTGCTGCCTTGGCACTAGGATGAGTATGAGGAGGAGGAAGGTTTCGGTGGGTGTCAAGGTGAGCCCAAGCACTCAGGTGGGGACTGGGGGGCTTTTCAGAGGGAGACAAAACAAGRAAAACAAGCAGGAGGAGAAATCTGCACCAAATGATCCCCCTTTCCCCACCACCCCGTTACAGTCCTGGAGACAGAGGAGTTTTCTCCAAAATCTGTCTCACTTCCTTTTTTTTCCCCCCTTTTCCTCTTTTTTTCTCTCTCCTGATTGGGACATCCATTCCTGGAAAGCTGCTGCTTCTTGTAATTAATTTTCCCCGTAGTGTCTCAGGCTCGTTTCTACAGCCCCCTGCCCCCCCGCAACCCTCGCCCGCATTATCCCCTGCCTGGAGGGGACACCAAGGATGGGGGACAATGGCAGTGCCCCGCGCCCCGACCCCTCCGGCACGTCCCTCTTGTCCCCATAGAGCTTCTAGAGGAGATGGGGTGGCCCTTTCTGCACGAGGGCGAGGAGCACCAGCCCTGTCTGGGCACCCGTGCCAGGGGGTCGGGGTGGGGGGACACATCGGGGTCCCCGAGACTGGCTCCCAACTGAGGAGGTCCCTCCAGTTTTAACACCCGCTCATTTCGATCCCCCTCTTATTTTACTCCCGCTGCAGCTGAATGCATCCGATGGGAGCTGAGCCCGCCGCCAGGCTCCGAGCGGGCAGGAGCCCCCGCGGCCCCGGCGCCGAGCCCTCCTCGCCCCCCAACCATGGACCCCGCTGTGCAGACACTGTCCCCTGTCACCATGCGGAGGGGACAGCCCCGTGTCCCCCTGCAGCTTTGGGGGCATCAATAAAAGCAGTTTTATTGGCACTCGTGGCCCCCCATTTCTCTCTGATGGGGGAAGGGGTCCCAAGGGGGGGATGGCTGGGTGACGCCGGGGTCCCTGCAGTGTGGCCAGCCCCCCGCGATTCCCACTGAAGCACTGGGGTGCTCCAAGAAGGCCAAGCAGAAGATGAAACCCCCCCAAGAAGCGCAAGGAGAAACAGCCCAAACTGCCCCAAAAAGTGGCGGGTGGGAAGCAGCCCAAAACACCGGCCGTGCTGCCCGAGGAGGGACCCGAAGGGCTGCGACCCCCCTGCTGTCGCCTCCCCGGAATGAGGACCCCCCCGGACCCCCCTGCGGCTGCTGCCTTCGCTCTGCAAGGAGGAAGAGGAGGAGGAGGAGGAAGGAGGTGGCAGCGGGGAATTGAGCCCGCACAGGGACAGGAATGAGGAGGGCAGCTCGGCAGACCTGGGGGGCTTTGGGGAGGAAAAATAACACTAAAGAAGGGGGAAAAAAGCCCCATTTTACCACTTTCTACCCGCCCCCGTCCCGCTTCCCCAATGCGCCAATTCTCCAATTGCGCCATTCGCTCCCAGTCTCCATTCCTTTCCTCCCACCACTCCCTCTGCCTCTAGGGATGAGCAAGGCACGGAAAGCGCAGCGTTGCTGGAGGAGGCCACCTCCCACAGCAGCTCTCGTGCCACCTCGGAGCCCAGTTTGCTGCCAGGTCCCCTTGGCTGCGCCCGTTCCTGCAGGAAGCTCCACTCGCCCCGGAGGGTGCTGAGCGGGCGCGAAGCCGGTGCTCCCGAAAGGGTCCGAAATCGGAGGTGGGAGGCGATCCCTACGAAGCCCCCGGTCTCCTGCTGTTTTCCGTGCGGTCGCGGAGCCGGAGCCACACGTGCGGAGCAGATGGGAGCGCTGGCAGGGCCGCTTCCCTCGCATTGCAAGGAGGAAACTGGAATCCCGTGACATTCCGGGCGGCCTCTCCGCCAGCTCTGCTCGGGAAAGGCTCCGAGACACCCAGGGAGCTCTTGGCCACCCTAAGGGTTCATCTGTGCCTCGGTCAGGACCAGCCTGCGGTCCCTGTGGGAGCTGCCAGCCCCGGCTCCGTTTGGGAAGATCCAGCGGGGAAGATGCTGCTGGTGGCGGGGTGGGAAGCTGGGATTGCCTCTGGCTTCAGCTCTCCTTGCTCGTCCTTAAAGCATCAAGAACTGCTCTAAAAAGGCTGCTGCTAAAAAAGGGGGACTTGCCCTCAGCCCTGAGCCGTGGCAGGAGCCCATGCCGCACATGACGGGGCAGTTCCCTCCCTTCTGGCAAAGGAAAAGAGCGGGCAAAGGAGAAGAAAATTCCGTGACAAGGAAGCCGAGTCTCCAAGCAAGCCCAAGGGCCGCCACGAAGCCAGAAGGGCCGTTTCTTCAAGCGCAAAGGCTGCACGCGGCCCAAAGCAGAAAGCAAAACAAAAAGAAAATCCATTTTTAGTCTCTTATTCTTGGCTCTGCCCCCAAAATGTGCAGATCCGGGCTGTTTTTTTTTTTTTTCCAGCTTCTCCCTGCAGGCGCTTCTGGCTGCAAGACGAGCCCCACAACCCTTGGCTCATGCACGGTTCCAGCAAGCCGAGTTTCCACACAAAACTGCTGATTCCCTCCGCATCCAGGAAAACCTACGGCCGTGGCGCAGGGCAGCTGGACGAGGAGCAGCGGCGCTCCGAAGCTGGCGTCGCCTTGGCCCTATTATGCAGCCCAGGCACCCAAGGAAAGCAAGAACAGCCCCAAAACTTCCTTAGAAGGGCAAAGCGAAAAGGCTCGGCTGGCCGCAAGAGGGTGAGATGGGACAAGCGGCTCCCGCAGCTGCACGGGGAGCTCCGATTGGTGCCAAAGACTTGCCCAAAAGTGGCGGTGCCAAGCACTGCCAGCAGCGAGGTTTGGACCACGGGGCTGCAAGCCGCCGCTGGCAACTAAAGCAGCACCACAGGGCAAGGAAACGACCCGCTGGGCGCCAGCAAGAGCYTGTCTGGCCAAGCTGCAGCTTAACTCTCGTTCCTGACAGCAAATGCTGCTGTCATGTGTCACCGCGGCACGCTGGGCAGGTGCCAACCCTGATGGGCACCATCAGCAGAGCGGTGGAACCTCTCACCAGGGAGCTCCCACCGGGGCCACGCTCCAGCTCCATGGCTGGAATGGCTGGGGATGGGGACAGGGCTTTGCACAGACATTCCAAGGAGCACGGCCTGGAGATGTCCTAGCCTGGCCTGGTGACACCAGGGAAACTAGACAGTGGCCCTGTGCTCTGCACGCCATGCTTGGCGCCCTGTGCTGCACCCATGGTGTACCATGCAGTATTCGACATATTCTGCGTGCATCGTGCCGTATGCAATGAGCACAGTGCAATAGGCGGCAWGTACTGTGCAATATGCAATGAGAACCATGCAATATGCAGTGAACACCGTGCAATACGCACTGTGCACTGTGCAGTATGCAGTGAGCACTGCAATGAGTATGCAGTTAGCACAGTGCAATAGGCGGCATGTACTATGCAATATGCAATGAGAACCGGGCAATATTGCAGTGAGCACCATGCAATATGCACTGTGCACTGTGCAGTATGCAACAAGTCCTGCAATGAGTATGCAATGAGCACTGTGCAATATGCACTGTGCAGTATGCAGTGAGAGCTGTGCAATATGCAACGAGCACCGTGCAATATGCACTGTGCACTGTGCAGTATGCAATGAGAACCGTGCAATATGCAGCGGGCACCGTGCAATATGCACCATGCAGTATGCAATGAGGGCCGTGCAATATGCAGTGAGCACCGTGCAACGGCCACTCCGCACTGTGCAGTGTGCAATGAGCACTTTGCAATATGCAGTGAGCACCATGCAATAYGCACCATGCCCCCTCCAGTATGACGTACCGGACGCCACCATCGCCCCCGCCCGCAGCATATGACGTAATAGGTGACGCAATATGCCCGGGACACCGTGGGCGATATGACGCATGCGCAGTACGCAGGCCGCGCTGCCTCCCGCCCCCTTAGGGCCTAAGCCCCGCCCCACCGCCCTGCAGGCAGAGTGACGG